TTTTTAGAGACAGAGAGCACGCGCACTTGTGTGCACGAGCGGGAGGGGAGGGGCAGAAGGAAAGGGAGATAGAATCTTTTTTTTTTCTTAAAGATTTTTTATTTATTTATCTGAGAGAGAATGGGAGACAGAGAGCATGAGAGGGGGAGGATCAGAGGGAGAAGCAGACTCCCCACCGAGCAGGGAGTCCGACGCGGGACTTGATCCCAGGACTCCAGGATCACGACCCGAGCCGAAGGCAGCCGCCCAACCAACTGAGCCAACCAGGCGCCCCGGGAGATAGAATCTTAAGCAGACTCGATGCTAAGCACAGAACCAGACACGGGGCTTGATCCCACAACCCTGAGATCACAACCTGAGCCGAAACCACTGAGTCAGATGCTCAACTGACTGCACCACCCAGGCACCCCAAGACACATCCTTTAACTGCTACCTCAAATATCTCTGACCCCTAGATTTGATCATGCCCCTTCATTAAGGACAGCAATAGTGTCCTTAATTTAAGGATATGGGAAGAAAACAGAACTTTGAATTTTATCCTTTTGAACTTCACTTTTGTGATATTTTAATATAAATAATACATTAACATAGTAAATGTAAAATAAATAAGTATGAAGGGTGTACCTGCCACATTTTTTACTGATACAAAGAATCCCCTGGTGTACAGGATAAAGTTATCCTACTTCGCATGTTAGTCAGGTTCTATGAATCTGACTCTCCAGGCTTTTCTCTAGACCCTGCCCAACCTCTCCCTGGACTTGCCCACTAGTGTGTTGACCCTTCTTACAACATGGGAGAGAATTTGTTTAAATGTTATTACATTTTCTAGGATATCATTTTCACCTGAAATATCAGTTTGTCTTTTTTTTTTTTAAAGAGTTTCTTTGAGCGAAAATTGATTTGAATCTGGCAGCACCAAATTAGAAGTGGTTAGCAGCACTTCACCGTCAGGAGCTGGGGGGAGACTTTAGTATAGAGAAGAAGCAGAAGCAAAGCTAGGAAATTATTTGATTGGCCATAGCTTAAGTGGCCAGATTCTATTCCTGTTCATCGTCTTTGTGGCTTTGTTATCTACCTATAAACTGGACTGGGTCCTGAATTCTTCTAGTTTCCTCAAATATCTGTCTATGACTCTTCAAACTAACATTTCCAGTATTTTCCCAGCCTTCTTGAGTTGGAATCACTAACAGCAAAGGCTGCCCTTACCCTCATTGGAAGGGACCATACTGGGTCCTCCTTGATTCCCAGATGGCAGCCAACCATTAGGGCCTTGAACATTGGGTCCATATCTCCCAATTTCAAAAGGCTCCTCCAGACTTTTGAAACTGCACACCAGCTGGGGATCCCAAATCCTGTTTGTTTTTGAGCACCCATCTCAAGGATTCCTTCAGCATTGAGGTTTCTCTTCATTTAGTGTTCCTGGTGTGTGTCGACATCTGAATCATGAAGATCCATGATCCTTTATCTGTAGTTCTGAAGCCCCAAAGTGCTCAGATGGAAAGTTTGTTTTGTTTTATTTTATTGTTCTTTTTTTTTCCATCTATACCAATATTACATTAGCAATCAAAAGTAATGACTTAAATATTTTGGTAAAAATTAAAGAGAGCAGAGAGATTGATGATAGTTTTGCATGAGAAGAGAATTATGCAATACAATTTTATAAGATTCCAAATGTAAAAGAAATAATGAGAGGACACATAGTACCATCATGGTTGATTAAAACAGAAACCTGGGATGGGCATTAGAATTGACCTAATTCAATATCCCCTCAAGATGGAAAGTTTTAAAACCTCATCTGGTGAGACACCTGATTTGAACCAATGTGAGGCCATTCATGTTTTAAAAAATCTCCCTAAATGTGTCTATTCATACATTTTGCTGCAGAATATTAAGTGTTTGATTACGCAGTACCGCCCCAGACCCGACTAGGTACACGCACTCTATTGCCGTTCTAAAACTTGAAACAGTCCAAGTCAAATCTATCTGGCCCCAGGTATTTAGGAAAAGGGGTCTGTGAAATCTTATAATTGATAGTGATTAACTATTATAAATGCTTGCATACGTATTATATCTCCCCTTCTAGTAACAAGCCTGCAAGGTGAGCAGGTCCCTGCTTTACAGAAGAGGTAGCCCAGACTCAGGGACTATCTAATTTTCTCCAGTCTATGGTCCCAGATGCAGGCAGCGCAGACATTAGACCCAGATCATTGGCTCCAGATTGTTTCACGGTGCCGTAAACCCAGTTGTACAGTGTTTGCCGCGTAGTCGCATAGATTGTAAGTCCCTTGTCAACAGGGACTCTGCCTTCCTTTTTTCCTCTAAGACTGAGTCCATGGTTGGCATTGCCCTTTGCATAGTGTTTAAACAAGCCTTTCATGAAAGGTAGAATTTATACCATAACAGTACTTTAAGAAGTCTAATTTAAAAAAAGTCACCAGAGGCTTTGGGGACAGATGAATCTCTGGTCCAGTTCTAGATCTGCAACTTACACTCTCATTTACCTTGGGCAAGTCACTTTGGTTTCTCTGTGCTTTGGTTTTCTTATCTGTAAAAATGAGAGAAACTATAAAAGTCTTAGAAAGGGGGATTAGAACAATTGAAGGAGAAAATCCACGAAATACACAACACACATTCACAAATGTTATTATGAGAAGAAAGCACCCAACTGATGAATTCAACAGATGCCAATTGAATTCCTACAACTGGAAACCTGAGAGCTATAATAATTTCCCTGCAGAAAGATTCACTCTTCTATGAGAACAAGCTTTTCACTTTGTTCATCGAACATTTTACTTGTTTTTGGTAGCATTGCCTGATTGAGGATCTTCGTGGACAGCGTAGGAATTAACATTTTTGTTTTTAAAGATCCTAAGGTGGAGTGATACTCATTTCTTCACGTTTTCCCCACTTCTCATCCCTTCTCTTACCTGCTTTCTCATTCCCTCCTCAAACTGAGGTAACTTCTGGAATCCAAGGAGAAATACAAAAGGAAGGGGAAAGGAAAGGTCAAAGGAAAACAGAAGGGAGAAGGCAGGCAGGTTGGAGAAACAGCAGGGTCTCTGTCGGTTGCCCTGCAGTACTCTGTCTGTTGACCATTAGCCTGCAGCCCCTCTTGCTGCCCTCCACTGTGGACCTGCAGGCTATCCGGGGCTGCTGCAGACACAGCCCCAGGCTGCCCTGTAAGCATGGTGTGTGTGTGTGTGTGTGTGTGTGTGTGTGTGTGTGTGTGTGTGTGTGTGTGTGTGAAACGACACTTCCTTGTTTTCACCGCGGTCGCCCCCAGCCCCCATTTCTCCTGTTCTCGTTGCTAACAGACATGGCCCTGGTTCTTTATTCAACTCAGAACATGGAAAACCACTCTATTTTTGAAGCTGTATTTCCCCATTGTTTTTTAGTCCCCAATGTCTAGGGTACTTGGGACCTCAGAGCATGAGAACCATTTCCAGGTTTGTTGTTATCCCAAACAATACTCTCTGCCCTCCCTCACTCTAAGCATGTGCTTCTTACACCGGCCTCTCTTTGCCTCCTGCCAAACCTTTCTTCTCCAGAATCCTCTTTCCTCTTTGCTCAGTGCATCCCTGAACTGTAGGGGGGGAGAGGGAGGGAGGGAGGGAGAACAAGAGAGAGACAGAAAGAGAGAGAGAAGTGAGTGAGAAAGCCCAGGCTGTTGTGACTTACCAAGGATTTTTGTCAAAGATGAAAGTATCCAAATGTACCAGACAGAAATGGAAAATGGTGCTTTAAAGTAGGAACACATGTTTTACTTTAGAAAAGTAAAAATTGCAGAGGATTATTTTCTTCTCTTGTATTCTCTCCCCTCTCCTGATTTTTAGCTGGAGGCAACACAGAATAAACAGTATGGGATCTACTTCTCACTACTACTACTACTACTACTTTATGCCCTCTATTACCTTTCTAAAACTTGAATAATTCAGAATCCCAAAACAAATCTGGCCCCAGATATTTAGGATCAGTACCTCAACTGCCACTATCCACTCCAGACTTGATGATTCCAATAGCCTCCTAACTGGTTTCCCTCTTTCCACCCTTGCTGCCCTCCAGTTTATTATGAACGGTGTAGCTAGAGTGACAGTTAAAATCTAAGTCAATTCAAGCCTCTCTTCTGCTCAACACCCTCCAATGGGTCCTCCTTTCAGAGGCCTATGGAACTCCGCATGACCTGCCCCTACCATCCTGACATCACCCCATTGGCTTCCTTGCTGTTCCCTGACAGGCCTGGCTGTACTCCTGCCTCAGGGCCTTTGCAGTTGCTCTTTCCTATATCTGTTATGCTTTTCCTCCAGATTACTGAAGTCTAGCTCCCTCACATAGGTCAGTCTTTACTCTGCCTTCTAAGGAGAGTAAAGACTGACAATCTTTTCTAAATTACGTCTTCCTCCAAAATTTCCTTACCCTTCCTCTTTAGCACTTAAAAATTATCCTAGGGATAAAAGTATTTGGTGTTTGTTTGTTTGTTTGTTTTTCCTCTTTGGACAACAGGAAAACTTGCCTTGAATATCTTTGGCCTGTAGTGTGAAATTATTGCTTCATAGGAGTTTTAAGTGGTAATCTCATTCATGTTTAAGAATCAGCACTGAATGGGGCGCCTGGGTGGCTCAGTTGGTTAAGTGTCTGCCTTCGGCTCAGGTCATGATCCCAGGGTCCTCGGATTGAGCCCCACGTCGAGCCCCACGTTGGGCTCTCTGCTCAGCGGGGAGCCTGCTTCTCCCTCTCCCTGCCTGCCCCCCTGTTTGTGCACTCTGTCTCTCTCTGTGCATGTCAAATAAATAAATAAAATCTTAAAAAAAAAAAAATCAGTGCTGAAGTACGGATACCATGCTATTACATGTGAACTCATATCTCACGGTTAAAAGTAAAATGAATATCTATCTTTTCTGTTGTTTTAAAATTCTATTCTAGGATCTTTGTCAATGATTCTGCATCTCAGGGTTCAGGAGAAATCCATTTGTAATCACTTCTCATTTATCCAACAGGGTGGACTAAGCGCGCAAGCTTTTGTTCGTGTGGAAATGGAGGATGTGAATGATAATGAACCTGTCTTTAACCCGTCAACCTACGTGATGAGCATTAGCGGCCAGACCCAGCCAGGCACCGAGATCATCAATGTTCTTGCCACTGATAGGGATTCTGGGATATACGGAACAGTGGCTTATGAGCTCATTCCGGGAGACCTGTCATCCCTTTTTACCATCGACTCCACTACAGGTGTGTGCTCTTGGAACAATTTTCCTCTGAAATCAACAGCTTCCACTTTACAGCCAGAAAATTGGGCAAAGTGATTTTTTTTATTAGCAGGGATGTTGCAGGACTCACTTCACTTTCCAGAAGGCAGCAAGGTATATTGTAAAGATCCAAGGTTTTGTGATTACATGAGACCTGGATCTGAGTTCGAGCCTTGTCTCCTACTGGTCTTACAGTCTTTTTTGGCCTCAGTCTCTTTACCTTAAAAGTAGCCCTATTAATTCCTGTGTTGCAAGGTTTTGAGAGGATTAGAGGCAGTAAATTATGAGAAACAGCTGGCTGATAGTATTTATTTTGCAAATGTTCATTCACTCCGTTCGTATGATCTTGCCATCTAAGGGTGATTTCCATGATTTCAGTGTATTAAGAGATAATTTAGTGCAAAGAGCATTGCGTGGACATCCAAAGTAGATCCCTTTCTTGTACTAGGTCTGGCATTCCCTAGTGTTTTGGGGTCTTAGCTTCCTTGTTTTTAAAATGATACCCAAAGCTCCTTTTACTTCTCTAATATAGCAATTGCATATCTGCCAAAGAAGTCCAGTGGATAAACTGAGTCTTTTAGAAATAATCAAAATTTAGGAGGTTATCATCCCCTTCTTATTGGTTTATTGTTAACAAAGTAATGTTTGAAATAGTTTATTACAGGAAAATCTAAAATTTCAAGTATATATTATTACATTGTAATGCTTTTGAGATATTGGAGATGTTCTGGTCCCAAAATGGTGCTGCAAAAATAAACACACAAAAACTTTTTTTCTTTTACATTTCTCCTTCTTTTAAAAAAATTTAATTAAATTTTACTTCATTGTAGTAAGAACACTTAACATGAGCTCTGTCGTCTTAACAAATTTTTAAGTATATAATGCAGTATTGTTGTCTGCAGGTGTAATGTACAGCCAATCTCTAGAGCTTATTCATCTTGCTTAGCTGAAACTTCATGCCCACTGATTAGCAATTTCCATCTCTCCCTCCTAGCTAGCCTCTTGCAACCATTACTGTCTTTGATTTTATGATTTTGACTATTTCAGAGACCTCATGTAAATGGAATAATGTAGTATTTGTGATTCTGTTACTGGCTTCTTTCATTCAACACAATATCTTCCAGGTTCATCCATACTGTTGCATTTTGCAGGATTTCCTTCTGTTTTAAGGCCAAATACTATTCCATTGTATGTATGTACCACATTTTCTTTATCCATTCATCCGTTGATGGACATTTAAGTTGTTTTTACAGCTTGGCTGTTGTGAACCTAGGAGTGAGGATATCTCTGACATTTTATTTCTTCTTTAAAGCACCTGACCTGAGCACAGGTAGAATGCATTTCTGTTGTGATGAGGATAATGTCAGGTGCTATACAGGTATTTTGTGTACATTGTCTTTATTGGATCTTCACAATACCCTCTGCAGCAACCATTTTCGCTAGCAACAAACAATAGTTTACACAGCAAATCTAACCATGTTAGTTTGGCTTCTAACCCAGCCCCAGTAGATGGAGAGTCATTGCTTCTTGCTTGGAAGGTGTACTTGCATCTGATGTGTGTGACTGGCTGGGGGACTAGTTGTTTACAATGGCAGTCTTAATAAGGCAGAACTTTCCTTGCTCAAAATAATCCACTGACATGGCTTCTTTAACGTTTCAAAGATCAGAAGAAAATACTTTTTTTTTTTTTTTTAGGAAATTTAGTCTGCTTATCTTGGTTTTTTCAAAATCCATCTAACCTCCTTGTCAAATTGTCAGGCCCTCTAGGACACTAGCATTGTCAAAAATATATAGGTCAGCCAATTATCAGCGCACAGGATCTAAAAACATTTAGTAGATTGTTTTTAAAAGACATCAACATGCTCATCGTCTAGTTTTCCCTGGAAGGTCTTGAAGAATGAGCTGTACTGTGTTCTGTTTTTAGAAGAGATCTCTTGCTGCTCTGCTGGCTTCCATTCCTGGCGTGGGCTATAGGACAAATGCCATTGTTAATCAAGGAGAACGCTTTATGTGGGTCATTATCGAGGGAAGTATCACGGTATTTTTTTTTTTTTAAGCAAAGACCAAATTCATAATGGAAGTAGCTGTGGGTTATTATTGTTGGCAGTTTTGATGCCGGTTCATTTAGGTTGAAGACATTTTTCTAACAGTGCTCAGAATTTGGTTGCGCTTAATCGCAACTCATGAGAAATTCATGAGGCCTGGTAACGCTTTACTTTAACCTTTAGAAGAGAATAAACAGCATCACAACTAGCTATGGGGAAAAGTTGCCTAGTGAACAGGCAGTCTTCAGCTGGAACAGCTGAATTCAAGTTCATCTGTTGGCTGACCGCAACTCCGAATACATTTTCTATATCGTACGTAATAGTTAGGCTTCTAGGCCATGCCAAGAAAGCTAATTGAACTGTTGATGTTCTCGAAGAGTAGAACAAGGAGCTGTACTGGGATATGGTTTTCTTCTTCTGGATCTGCTTTTTGTTGTCATTGTTGTTGTTGCTGTGACCTATAGAAAGCTGGACTTCCTTGCTTCTGCCAAAAGGTCTGTCTTTACCGAAGCTGCCAGTGTAATTGCAGTGTGAAGAAATTGCCTCTATCAATATGTATTTGTAGAATGAATGAATAAGTGACATCTAGAAATAATTGAAAAGTGATTTAAATCCTTATTACAAATTCTTAAGAAACTGCAAGAGAGTGTCATTGATAACACAGAGCAAAATTTCATTTAAAATCTTCTTTCTGCATCACAGTGTGGTAGGTAATGCTATGGCTCACCCCCACTTTTCCTCAAAATTCTCCCAAACTCTTTCCACCTGGCTAGCACTTTTCTAGATATATATGCCAAGTATACTAAATATATTTGCATTTATATATAGTTATACAATTCTATAGATGTGTAGCTGTATAGTTTTATATTATATGAGAAGAATATTGAGAATCAATGAGCTAATTTATATATTGTCACTTCTTCGTGAATTACTCTTAGGAATCTCGCTTAGAGACATTTATTCGTTTGTTCACTGGTTCATTCATCCTTTCATTTTGATGCTTCCTCTATCAGACATGCTGTTTTCTAAGCTTGCACCTTGTGTGCTATAGGCTCATGTTTTTCTGAAGACAAGAGTTTGCCCATTGATCTCTTTGTGCCACAATCAAGACTCACACTTTAAAAATAGAGCTCTTTGACTTTCTGTGTTCATCTGGTAAGAAAAATGTTTTGGAGAAAACTGGAAGGGGGTGTGGTGATGTCATGGTTGTTTTCTCTTGTGGGTTTATCTTCCTGTTCTGTTTCTGGTTTTCTAAGTTTGTTGTTGGTTCAAAGAACATTTTTGTAAAATGTGCTTAGGCACCAGGAGAGATATTGAACTGAGCCTTCATCTCTCTTATTCTCAGTTAGTTGGGTTCCTTTGATGTGGGCACGAGGCCGACCACACTGTTTTGAGTTTTAAAAGAAGGAAATACAAGAGTCATGTTTATTAATAGCTCTTTTTATGTTTTTAATCCCATTTTATGAATTGTATGTAGATTTTTTTCTTATGTTGTTTGAAGTATTCCCTTTAGTAGCATGAAAAGAGTAGTTCTTTAGCTCCTTTGTTCGTCCTATTTATTTAGTAATTTTATACTGAAGCGAACGTTACTGCTAACTCCGATTATTTTAAGGTGTCTGATTTCAAACATTTGTGTTGGCCATTTGCAGTAGCCCAACTACCTCTTTTGCTAGGATTACCTTTAGTTAAATTCTTCTGGTTTGCCTCTCTTCATAGAAGCAAGTTAATGATATAAAGAAAAGTCAAAGTTCTAAAGAGTGTAGCTTATCTATTCAAGGCAGAAAATGGAGGCAAGTTCATCCTTTCAAGACGTATTTATTCAATACCTGTTATGTACCAGGCACTGTTTGAAGTATTTGGGATACATCAGTCAGTAAGACAGATAAAAATTCCTGTTCTCATAGAACTTACAACGAAAGCTTATGTTGCTTTGCCTATTGTCTATTCTATGGTTAGTTGTGGTGTACACAAAATCCAAGTTTAGCATTACAGAAGAACAAGTAATTAAAAGGGTAAGTGAGTGAGTTAAAGGCAGCTACGCCTCCTTGTTTGGTTGTAACCTTTTGTTTGTACAGGGTGCGTGGATTTTAACATGGGCTGTGAGTAATGTAGCACAGACTCTGTTTTTCTTTATTTCAAGGGCAGATCTTTTTCTAATGTTAGTTTTAAGCTCACATTTCATATCATGTACCAATCTCATAATTCTTCGTGATTGCCACTTTCCTACATTTAAAACATTCTGATATGTAGCTAATAAATTAAAACCACATCTCATTCCATAAGGGATGTGAGCCTACTTAGGCCAAAAAAAAAAAAAATAATAATGACTTCCTTTTATTTGTAAGACAGGGACTGAAATTAATCATGAACACCTAATCAGTGTGTGTTGCTTTTGTAGGAAACAAAAGCATATTAGAGAGTTTTCTTATGAGTTTTTCCAGTATAAGATCACAGACTCTTGGGAACCTTACAATTCAGCTCCCTTATTTAGTGAAGGAAGAAATCGAAGCTGAAAGAGATTCAGTGACTTGCCTAAGAATACACGGTGAATAAATGGCAGAATCGGACTTAAACCCTCTCCTGGACACGTCATCTGTCCCTTATTGCTCTGTCTCAGATGATAACACCTTTCAATATTGTTTCCATATATTGCCTGTTTGAGCCTTACATCAACTTATGGCATAAGCAAAGCGGATGCTTTTGTGCCCATCTGCAAATTAAGAGAAGAAAGGCCCTCAGAGTATTAGTGACTTGCTGAGGGATTTGTTGTTACAACCCTGACACTTGAATTTACTTCTTGGACTTCCCTTTTAAGGCTCTTTCCATTATTATGTCTTTTTTTTTCCTTTTAAACTAAACACAAAGCTAAGATAAATAGAGGTTTCATTGTCTCAACTAAATAAGGTAGAAAAGTGATCTTTCATTGTGGCTTCTTATA